ATAAACATAAAAACAGAAAAAAACACCAGTCTGCACGTCCTGATCTCCCCTCAGATGTACCTGGCTGCAGAATCATGTGCTTGACTCTCTGTCTCAGTTTGTGCCACTTCTTCTGCTTGTRGTGGTGGGGTCGGAGGACGCCGTGCTCGCTCTTCTTCCTCTCGCCTCCTTTGAATCTCCTGCTCTTCAAGCTAAAACAAAGAATACAGGAGTGCTAAGTACACAACTAAATGTGAGTTTGATTGGCAGAGTCACAGTTCCAATATCGACAAGGCCACCCCAGAGCTCATCTSATTATCCTGCTTACTGTGGTGAGTTTCTCCAGCAGCACAAAGCGTTCCTCCCAAGCTGCAGCGAGTTTTTCGAACGCTTCGTGGCGCTTGATTAGGCTCTCGACTTCATCTACGTTCGCGCCCAGCTCTGCTGCGCGCACGAGAGGCTCCTGCCCGGCCAGCCAAGACTCTGCCACAGAGGCGTCGCGTCCAAACTGCAGCACTTCCAGGACTGAAATAAAGAAAGTTGAAGACGTGAAGAACCAAAAAAAAAAAAACATACAAGAACTGTAGAGAAAGCCAATAAAAAACAAAGATGTAATGCAAAAATAAAAATAATAATAATAAAAAAAACTTTCTTCAGTAACACCATCATATTGTTGCAGAGATTAGCAAAGACACAAACTGCAACAAGATGAAGAGCCATGTTTTAGTTTTGCTAATAYACAGTCTTTGTCACAAGAACATAAACACTGCAGAGCAGTAGCCTCTGTCCTACAACACTCGTTTGTCTCAAATATGAGTCTTAAACAAAAACTTCATAATTTWCCTGAGCAATCTTGTTTGAAAGATTATGAAACGATGTAATTTGCATTTTATGGGACTTCAAACTGGATGTACCCATTTTGTATTTTTGCATAGTTCCAAGCCTGAAGCAAAAAGCTTTTCTTTTGTTGTGTCAATGTTATATTTGAGTTATTGTATTTGTATGTGATTGTTATCAACATCAAGGTTCTTTTAGCAACTAAATTAAACTTATTAAGGTTCTCTGTCTAGACAAGACACCATGTTAGGATGAAAGTTGTTTTCATTTCTGTGCTTTTAATGAATATACAATTACATAGTACATATAGTGTTACATTGTTTTCCTAATTAAATTCAACTCATTAAAACTGTACTTCATTTGACCTCGTAAAAACAGTTCAGTGTGCATACCAATTTGTAAATGGTCCATCTTGTCTTGCCACCTCTTGTTGATCCTGTCTCTCTTTTCTTGGAGCTGAGCCAGTTTCTCTCGAATCTGCAAATCAAAGAATGAAAAGAGAGAACTGAAGCATGAAGTACACTAGACAATAAAAACCGGTTCTCGTGCTCCTTTGGTGACACTTTCGTCGAACCGTTGCGACATACCTCATCGGCAGCATAGTGATGGTTGTTGATGAGACTCTTTCCCAGATCGGTGCAGGCAGTAAAGCTGTCCGCTCTGGTCTCAATCTCTGATTTGATGTCCTGATGATTGGCAATGACTAACCCGGCAGATGACACATCCCTTAAAAACAAACAGGAATTTTATAGAAAAATAGAACATTTGGTTATTTTGAAGAGACTGGATCAGTTTAGGTTTGTTTTCTACTGTAGTCTAACTGCAGTTCGAAGGGGGAAATGTAGGCCTGAGAGAGGATGAAAAGTATGACATAACATATAAACATTTTTATAATATGTGACAGATAACTTACTTCTACTTTTCTTAAGCAGATTTTTACACAAGCAACTTTCCTTGTACCCAAGTAAAATTTCAACAACTGTACTTTTACTTCTGTTACTGTAATACTCTTTGCAGTACTCCAAAACTAAYAATCATATTGATGCTTAGAAGAGAAACAAACATTCACCTGGGGCTGTCATGTGCATCGATCTGCAGGTTGACTCCATCCATCCAGAGCATGAGGTCCCGCACCATGTTGAAGAAGCGGAATTTCTCCACCGTGTCCAGCAGGAGGAGCCTGCGGGTCTTACAGGCCTCCAGCAGGCCCTCCCAGGCAGAGGTCACGGCATGTTCACTCCTCTGAATCTCATCGGCTTTTTCCCCGGCGTAGGCCTTCTGCAGCCGTGCAGCATCATCCTGCACCTGGTTCACCTTGAGAGTTCAAAGAGAAAGCGGATAAATTCTGTGTTCTATTCACGCGCTACGTATGAAATGACTTCTCTGATATGACTCACCTGTCCACTGAGAGCCTGGATGTCATTTTCAGCAGTGGCGTGCTGTCTGTGGAGGTGCTGGACAGTGTTCAGGTCACGGCCGAGGTCTGAAGGCAGGGCTTCTTTTTTCTCTTTAATGCGTCCGAGCACCTCCATGGCATCTTGATGGAATTTATGCAGCTCATAGGAAGCTGCCAGCATTTGTGTGCGTGTATCTATTAGCTCCAAGAGATCGGCCCAGGCTTCATTCAAACCGTCCTTCCACTCGGCTATACTGGCGTTCTCAGGGTGACCCGACTCGATGAGGTCATCTGCCAACGCGTTCACGCCATCCACGCGTTCTTGGCCGATAGTGCTGGTGTCGCGAGCAAACTCGCGGAACTTGTCCCTCAACATCTGCGGGGGGAAATAAAAAGATTTAGGACCGAGTGCCACAGAAGATTTTCAGCTACGTCTCCCAAAACGTGTGAAATAAACTCACTGTGACGTGTTCATAGTCTTGTCCCAGTTCATGAGAGCCAGCGACCACCTCCCGCTCTGCAATCCATTGTTCCAGGTCRTCCACCTCCCGCTTCAGCTGGGTCAGCCGCAGCCTCTCCTGAAGACGGCCACGACGCTCCTCTGCGAGGTCTTTCAGCCCTGCGTACAGCTTGTCAACTTGGGCTTGCCTCAAGGTGATTCTTTCACTGGTGAATTGAGAACACGAGTCAGACATCAGTCCCTGTGGGGGGCCTAACTGTTTATAAAAGGGCATGCACTACTAACATGACCACACGTGCTGTCTGACCTCTCTGGGTGTTCACTGTTGACCATGAGGCGACTGCTGTTGGCCAGCTGGTGAATAGTCTGGGCATAATCCTCAAGGGCCTGTTCCAGGATTTGGTGCTTCTTGACCATWACGAGAGCACTTTGTTCATCCTGGGTAACGGACAGAAATAAAATGACATTTCTCAAAAAGCACACCGCTACGAATTCGCTACACAATCCTAAATACCTTTGCTTTTTCTTCTGACATCATGTGCAGCTCTTGCTCTCCCATCCAGGCTTCTGCTTCCGCTGCGTCAGCATAAAACTGCTGGGCGCAATGTGCCTCTACCAGGCGGGCGCGGCGCTTGTCCGTCTCTGCGATCAGCTGGTCCCAGAGGTCCTTCAGCTCAACGAGGCGCTCTTTTAGAAGAGACTGTCTTTCACCGTCCACCTGGCTCTGGTCCTCACCTCGTCTGTGGATGTCATCGATGCGAGGCTGGTGGCCCTGGATCTCTTTTTGCAAAGTCTGATTCGCAGCCAGAGCAGAAGTATTTTTACTTAGTATGCTGGCAGATTCTATCGCTCACGTGTTTTGAGCTGCCTGCAAAAAATRGTTTTAATCAGTATCGCTGTACCTGGTTCTTCTTGATTAGCAGCTGCACAGTGGGCAGATCTTTTCCATGGTCTGTGGAAGTTGCGAGGGGCATCCTCTCTTTCACCCAAAGCTAAGAATTGAACAAATATTAAAAATTATGTATATCCAAGCATTACACAAAACAGCCTACAACGTTTATGTTTGTTTTCATCTACTGCTCACAATTTCATCTTCCAAGTCTCTGTTGAACTGATGTGCTTCTTTGGAGGCCAGAAGTTTCTGTCGTCTCACACCGAGAGGCTCCTGGAGGCCGGAGAAGCTGTCGATGACACGTTTTTGCTGACCGTCTACCTCAGCCAGCCCAGCGTCCTCCTGGGACAGAGCAACAGCCTGGGACTGTAGGGACTGCACCTCCTTCTCTCTGACCTCCATCTGATGCTCCAGCATCTGCACAGAAACAGCCCAATGATGATCAACAAGGCAGCAACGTTTGCCTTCCCTCACACCGGTCAAAATATAAAAGATAATGTTTCATCCTGAGTTTGTCAACTCTAGTAGTTGTTTGTTCAATGAGTCACAACCTTTGCTACATAAATGCAGTGGTGGGCACAGTTCTCCTAAAGCACTAATAGGATTAGTGTAAAAGTTGTATGTATTGAAATTGGCAGATATAGTGTTTTGATTAAAACACTTGCAAAAATTCCAGTTTGTCAAAATATAACACATATATGTGTCATCAATGTATCATTTCAATGAACTGTCTGAAATATTATCCTAAAAAAAATTTAAAGCACTTTTTTGAGCATTAGCAAAAAAAAAAACATTTTGAGGAAAAAAAAGCCTTAAATTTTTGAGATTTTCCCTGTGAGCTAGCAATGTTTTTGTTTCTTTCCAGCTGGGAAATCTCAATATTCAAATACTATTTGAGGTTTCTTTTTTAAAATGACATACAAAAAAATCCTCAATAAAATTACATAAAGTTAGGATTTAGACCAAATAGTTATGTTTTATTGTAACCAACAAGACAAATTAAATAATATCTCCGGATCTATTAACGATTACCAGGATGATCTACGTATCAAAATGGAGCTTTAAAAGCAGGAATCTGAAAATATGATGAGGTCATTTTGACCAAATTTAACTTAATCCTCATTTCGATGKGATGGGTCACATATGTGTGTCACTTWTCCACTATAGGTGACATTTTGACAATATAGGAACTCAAATAAGGCTGTGGAATTTCATAATAAGACAAGAGAGTAAYWTGTAACTCATGTTGTCTGCGGAAGTATGTTCATGGGTTGACTGGATTATTTTAGTGCTTTACAATTAGCTTTTGCTAAATTTTCAGTGTGTTAGTGCTTTAGTGGACCTAAATATTTGAGTTAGTGCTTTAGGACTAGTGGATGTAATTTTTAGATTAGTGCTGCCCACCACTGGACGCATTTTACCTGGTGCTTTTTGAGGAGAATGTTAACACTGGTCAGATCTTTTCCATAGTCATCATTATGCAGCTGGCTCTCTATGTTTTTCAGCCAGTCATCCAGAGCGGAGCAGCTCTGTGTGAAGATTTCTGCCCTGTGAGCTTCGAACAAGCACTGGTCCTTGGAGCGAGTCCTGCTCTCCAGCTCCTCCCACTGACCCTGTAGATCTTCCAAGGTCTGCTGGACTACAGGTTTCAACTCAGGCTTCTCTGCCACGAGCGCTTGACCCTCCTATTAGAGAAAGAATAACGTTCTAGCTTTAATAAGCTTCTGTTTGGTGATTGCTGCTAAATTATTACCAACGGAAATGGAAACAAATAACTGAAACGCCAACGAAAAAGTCTTAAAATGAAATCACGATTCGTACAGACAAATGGTCACACCTTATCAATCTTGTCCAGCCAGTCTTTGTTGGAGGCCAGCTCAGCCATGAAAGCCTGGTGTTTCTGCCACTTGCTGTGAAGRTTTCTAGCTTCATCGTAAGACATGTCTTGTGCCGTCAGCATCTTCTCATTAATCCACAAAGTGAGCTTAAGACAAAAAAAGTTATTTTTAGCATCATTATTAGCTAAGGTTTTGTTTTTAAGTATATAAAGAAGCATACATATACCGTTTTACTCCGTATTCAACTGTTCTATTGATTGACTTTGTGTATTTACTATAACTTTATTTGATTTAAGAATATTATTGTTACCTCCTGTCCATCTTGGAGGAAGTGCTGAAGTTCACAGTTGTCCTTGAGCTTTGCCAGCAGTTCATTAGCAGCCTCCTTATTCTTACGATGTCTGGGGAACATAAGCGATAAGTGAAATATGTAGCCTTCAAACATAAAGGACAGAAAAAAAAATGACACATTTTTCCCTTATCTTTTATTTTCAGTTCTGACCTTTCCTGGACTGAATCAACTTTTTCTTGGATCTTATCGGCGTTTGCGTTGGAGTCGTTAATGAGGCGCCTTCCAGCCTCCACTACACCAGTTATCTTCTCCTCGCTGGCCTCTGCGGTTGTGAGGAAATCTTCGTGCTTCTTAATGGCCTCCTCTGCTGCCTGAAGACTGGTGGGCATYTCTGTGTGGGAAAGCACGTACTCCTACACAAACACAAAACAATGAGATTTTTATTTTTATTTTTTAACAGGCAATGCTTTCATGCACATATCTGATATAGTTTTACAAACATTTCAAAGCACAAACACTAATTTGTGTATTAATATTCGGTTATTTAAAAGAAGTGCAACATCGTTATTATCTCAGATTTCAACTCTGGAGCTATTCCTGTAGTTACAGCCTTACATACTTTAATCTGTATTTACTGTTATAATGCCAATTTTAATGGAAGATGTACTATTTTTGATTATATTTGAATTGGCCAATTATTAAGACCTACAGTTCTTTTAACAAATAACTTGAACACAATACTACTAAAAAGCCTTACAAAGATGTTTTGACTACTAGAAAGAAAAAAAWTACAAGCATTTTTAATATTAAAGACAACAAAAGTATACAAATATCTTAAGATTAGAGTTTTGACAAAGTTGAAACAACATTTTAGTCCTTGGGGCTAATACTAGACAAACACTAAATGATCCACATTTTATAAAAATTATACAAAAACTTAATTGCTTAATTAACTGCTGCCTTTCATTTTATTTGCATTGTTTTGTTGTATGTAATGTGTTTTGTTTGTTTGTTTTTWTATGAATAAATACTAAATTAAATCAAATTTAAAAATTGCACTTGTTAACTGAGCTAAAAAGAACATAAGTGACCATTTCAATAATGTTTCTGGCACAAGTCACAGTTAGTTAAGTGTAGTTTTCTAACCTGGCTGTTGAGGAAAGCCTCTGCTTGTTTTGCATCTCTAAGGAAAGTCTGGAAATCAAAGGCCTGGGCCAAAAGACTGTGGCGGTTCTCCCACATCTGACGTAACTCATGCCAGCCAGTGTCCAAAGCCTGAAGCCTCTGGGCCAAGAACATGTACTGGGCATCTGTCTGACCTTGGGTCACTTCCTCACCAACCGCTCGCATTTTCTCATAGTCCTCCTTGTAGTTGTCGATTTCATTCTTGATGCTCTCGTGTTGGGCGAGCAGACTCTCCGCCTCGGGCAGAGACGTAGGAATGTCTTCTGAGGCCACCGCCGTCTGAGTGCGAGACAGCCAGGACTGGAAGTCATCCAGATCCCTGAGGAAACCTTGAAGTTTGCTGGCTTCTCCCAGTGACTCCTCTCGTTGCTTCATGGTGGCGTTTAACTCCTCCCACACCTCCTGAATCTCAGCCAAGCGTCCTTGTATTTCTCCAGCTTGTTCTGGGTGCTCGCTGGCCAACTTCTCTGCCTCTTTTTTCAAGTCGTCCAATTTACCCTAAAAAAGGAATCGAAATTAAGAACATCAGAAAAAATATGTACTTTTTTCGTACATTTTGTTTCTGTTTCACAACTGATCCATATGAACCTTTCATACCTGAATAGCCTCAAGATCCCTCTCCATCCCAGTGAGCTTGCGCTGCAGTGCCATCACTCCAGCCAGGTCGTTCCCCAGGCCCTGAGTAGATTCAATCACTTTGGTCTTTTCTTTCATCCAAGTCTGAATCTCATTACACTCTAGGTGGTAGTTCTGGATGTTAAGAGCCGACTCGAGAGCTTGTTTCTTCTGACCAGCCAAATGCTCGAACTCTTTCCATCTAGAGACAACATCAAACGAAACGTTAAAAAGCCCTGATCAAAAATGAAATCAGGTACATATACCTGTTGTATATTAAATAGACCTTAAATACAAGCTCTGACCTGTTGTTCAGTTTGTCTTTTGTCTGGTGGATTTGGTCTTTGTTGCAGTTTTCTGAGTTCAGCAGCTGTTCAGCCACCTGGTTCACGTCATTGACCCGAGCGCCTACGTTGTTCATCTCAGGTTCCAGTGTGTCAAATCTGCATTCAGAAATATTATACAATATTATTTCACTCATTGGAGTTTTCTTTAATCTATCTTTATTTAAATATAATAAAAAATAATACAGCTAAAGTCAGCAACTACTCAAAGTCAGACCTACTAGATAACAATGGATTACAATTGTGAAAAAAAAAATTCAGAGTACCATGCATTTGATTTCAGAAATGCTATTTTCAATKATATTGATGTATTTTACATGTTCACATTTCAAAACTAGCCCATTTAATGTCTGCAGGCCAAACAGGTATGGAAGAAAAATACTTATTTGTTGTTTTCATTCCCACCCAGCCACACTAACCTCTGCTGCACCACCTCCAGGTCCTCCAGTTTGGTAGGAATCTCCATGCCGTCCAACCACTGCTCCTTTTCTTCCACCCAGAGCTGGCAGGCATCAGCTTCACTGAACATGCGATAAAGGGCCAGAGCTCCCTCCAGAGCCTGGCGCCGAGCTGCTGACATAGACTCCAGTTCTTCATAGCGCTGCTCAATTGCAGGCAGACGACCATCCACCTACAGTYGGCCATAAACAATAATTTACTGCACAGAGCGTGTTATCATGGAGGAACTATGCAAAACAAAGCCCACATACTTGAGGCTCATGCATGTAGGCCTGTGGCAGCGCTTGGGCCTGCTCATGAAGCGAGTCGATGAGGGGGCGGTGGCTTTGAATCTCCTCGTCAATCTCCCTCTGCTTACGAGCGAGAGATTGGGTGGAGAACTCGTCGTGGCCAACCTCTTGACTGGACACCTGTCTGTGGGTCTCCTGAATCCACGCCTCCATGTCATTAGCATCCGTTTGAAACTGGTGAAGGGCCACTGATTCCTTCAGGCTCTGCTCCCTGAGTTTAGTGGTCTGAGGAGTGGAGAGAACAAGAATATTATTGATAAAAATGAGAATATTTTTGGACAAGGTGGTTTCAGAGGGAGAACTCCCACCTCCTCTAGATGAGCCCATTGTGCACGGACGTCTTGGATCCTCTCAGTGACTTCTGAGGCGCCAAAGTGTCCCTCTTTAACTAACGCCTCTCCAGCAGCGATGCTGTTGCTTAGCGGGCCAWAGCGAGCTGCCATTTCATCCCTGAAAGCTTCATGTTTACTGAGTAGATGAAGAGCAGAAGTGAGGTCGCGGCCAGAGTCTCCACTAGCCAGGATCTGCTCCTGCTCCCTTATCCAGGCTGCCTCCTCGCCAAGGTCCCACAGAAACTGCCACAGACGACGAGAATCCTCCAGACGCTCTCTGCGGCTCCCAGCAAGCTGAATGAGTTCTTCATACGACTGCCCCAACAGGTMGACCTTCTCACTGACCAGTCCAGGTTCACAAGGCTTGTAAGCTGCCAATCGGAAAAGGTGGATCATTATCAGAAAACAGATTAAAACTGGCTAATTTGGATTAAAAAAAAACATGTTGGAAGACTTACCCTGTTCATRGGAGGTGAAACGCTGTGCGGCTCCCTGCACCGCTTTTATCCTCTCTGCCTGAGCTGAAATGTCAGCCTCCACCAGATTGTGCTTTTGCAGCAGGTCTAAAACATCATGCAAATGTTTACCACTGTCCTGAGACTGCAGTCGGCCCTGAAGGAGACGAAAAGAAACTTTTTGAAACAAACATATGTTAAGAATAACACAGTTTGCAAATAATCAAACAAAAAACTAAATGAAATAATTATGTTTTTAATAAATTAAAAAACAGAAGTCCAGCATTTTTGAGGTTTTAAAAAAAATGATAAGAAAAAAAAGCATAAATTATAACAAAATGAAGAAAAACACTGCTTCTAACAGGGCAAAAGGCCACTAAAGCTGCTTGTAATCATTTAAATGATGTAGAAATGCATGATTGAAATAAAAAAATAAATTCAATAAAATTCAGCAACAATTGGTTAGATGGAAAAAGTGAAAAATCGTCGTCCTTGTAATTGTGTGTTGAATGCTCACTTTACAGGGAGTCATAACTGGAAAACAGCAAATCRTGYAATATTTATGAAGGTTGAAAAAGAYTAAAGAGGAGTAGGTGAAGAGGCGTGAATCTGCTACTTAATAACTGAATGCACAGTTCATAGACATTAACMATTTTGAATGAAGTTAATGGTGAAATTTTTACAATAACACTAATCAAAGTAGCAGTTATGGAGGTGCAATGAGCCTACAATACATTACATGTCCACTCAACTGCCCACACTGCTCTGCCTCTGACAAGAAAATAAATTAGACCCATTAAAAATTAAAGCTACGCTGTGATGCTTTGCTTTTTTATACTTAGGATGCAACAAGAGCTGTACTTACAAATTGTTAAATAAAACCCCTGCCACCCTTGAACTCCATTAAACAGCTTTGAACAAGCAAAACAACCATCTCAGCATGCATCAAAAATCCAGCATGTGARACTCTAAAGTGCCTGTGGCATATCCTTCAAATACAAAAAAATAAATAAAAATTAAAATAAAAAATAAAAATAAAAATTGATATTTGAGAAACCTGACGTAACACGTGATTTTACCCATTTTGTTGCATAGCTGGCATCATTTCTTTTAAACTTGGCTCAGACAAAGTGAAACAACAACATCAAAGGGAAACTCTTTAAGAAGAAACTTCCTGGTCTTTGTTTATTAAAACAATATTATTTAAACTGCAACTCTTCAGCTCTCTCTGATAGTGACTCAAAATAATCTAAAGAAACATCAGACTCTTCTCTACAGTCTGTGTTGTTAGCYATTGTAGCACTGATCAGTTTATATGCAGACATTCCCCTTTGACATCACTTCCTGTTACTTCACATGCAAATATCTCAACAACTGTTCATCTCAGTGGTGTGATTTTTTGAATGTTATCGTTTGAAAAATACATGCATATTTATTACAAAAATTTGATGTCACAGGCATTTTGAAGCTTTATTCTATTTATACTTTAAGTGTCTAATTACTGCAATAAAAATGTAAAAATCASGATTGCCAAAACATAAAAGAAGTTCACAGTGTGTTAAAACAGCAACTCCAAGTTTAACTCTTAATCCTCCAAATGATTGTAGTCTACCTCAGCCAACCTCAGTAAAGCCAACAATGAAAGGTTGCACTAATCAGGCAAGGCCTTGTAAAGCTAATTACCGCAATTAGGAGCAACACTAAAGCTATCAGGAATGAACATGAACAGGATTTATCTCAATTAAGAGGATCGGGAAACTCCTTTTAGCAAATTAGAAACCAAAGCAAAAGGAAAGCAGGAATAAAAAGTTACTGGAAACAGGTTAAGTTTTCAGATTTACCTTCTCATCAGCCATCCAGTCCATAATGTAGCGCATCTCTTGAAACAGTCTTTGCAGGTCTCGATGGGAATTCAGACGCTCTCTGCGAGCAGCCAGAAGCTCCTTCAGGTATTCCCAGAGTCGAAGCACGTTATCCCTCCGTGCAAGTACACGGCGCACATCRTGGTATCTCTCGGCTTCCAGCTCTTTGGCAACAGCCTCCACAGCAGCAACTCGCTCCCAGTACGCTCCTATGTCTGTCTCAATTGCTTCATGCTTTCGGGTGGCAGCTTCCACAGCTCCCAAGTCAGTTCCAAAGTTATCCTTGAGACAAAAAAAGGCTTGATTATAATGCTAGTAATTGCATTTATATTAGGAACTTGAATATGTTTTGAACCTTGATAGTCATTGATTTTAATAGACTTTTGTTTTTACCTGAGATACCAGCCTTTGGTTCTCGCTCAGCCAAGTCTCTCTCATCGCTGCTTTTCGATCAAAACGAGCTGCTAGCATCTCAAGCTTCTCCTGGCGAATCAACTCATTTCTCAGAGCTAACTCGCGCTCATGCTCTGCCTTTTCTAGTCGTTCCCACGCCTTCAAACATGAAAACATACAAAGCCTATTACAGGTCTGATGGGACACTAAATCTTTGCTTAATTAGATTTAGTGATGAACGTTCACTTTTCATGAAACTATTTCTACATTTGTAGGTGGTACGCTATATTTTAAAGTCTCTTTAGGACAAGTCATACCTTATTAATATCAGAGATGAGTTTGCCCTCCCTCGGCATGTAAACTTTCTGATTATTTGCTCTCATCTTGCTTTGAATAGTAAAGAGAAGCACCTCCAAGTTCCCTTTCTCTGTAAATCTGTCAAGACAAGACGTTGTTGTAGTTCAGCCAACTTGTAAACTTTGGATCATAAAAGTAAAAAGAGATTTGACATTTTTAATGAAATCTCACTTCGGGGGTTTCTCCACGGTCCTGTAAGAGTTGAAAGCCTGGAGCTGGTTCTGAACACCACTCAGGGAGTTGGCCAGCTGTCGATCATTGAGGGTCCCTATCGTCTGCTCGATCCACTGCAASAGCTCTGATGCTAGCGTCTCGTACTTATCAATCAGCTGGTCTGCTTCAATAGCATAGTCAAGCACCTGCGCTCAAAGGAAATAGTAAATCAAGACAATTTAGAATAGAAACACTGAAAATACGGGTAGGTAATGTTTCACTCCATGTTTACATGTATGCACACACAGCTAACCTTGCCAATTCGTTTGCCCTCCACTGCCAAGGCTTTCATCTTTGAGAAGTAATGATAGTAGGTTGCCACATAAGTGATGATGGACTTTTCATCAGGCTGATCAACATTCACATCTGAAAAAAAGAAAAGAATAAATCATTCGTTCTCATTTGTTTAATACAAATCTCCACTAGTTTTAATCTTTCAGTTCTTTCCTTTTCACAGGTCGCCTCACTGAGTCCAAGACAATTCCATGTTTTCATATGCATTTGCTGACATTTAAAGTCGTTTCATGTAAGCTATGGTTCTAATTCATTCCAAAATAGCATTCTTGTTTTAGAAGAAAAAAATACACTGCAAATTAATGACAGCACTAAATCAAGGATGTTTCATTAGGAGTGACTGATTCTTTCTGAAGGTTTTGCCCACTCACCYTCTGGGTCTAGCAGCTTGGTGAGCCCTAGTTCCTTCTCGGCCACATTAAAGGCATTTTGGAGATTGTAGTGAGCATTGGACCTTTTCAGGTTGTCAAACTCAATCACATCAGGCCTGCAGGAGATAAAAACAGATGTAGTTTTAATTAGAGAAAATGGTAAAGAAGATTAGAGGGTTCACACAAAACCATTGAGAGAAACCTACAGTGTAGCAATATTCAGAGAAGAACTGGTTTACTTTGAAAGTAGGAATAAAGAAACTGTTTTGAAACATTTTGCTAAAACTAAGTATAAAAGACATGAATGATGTGAAATTGCATCCAGATATTAAAAAAATCCAAAAATATTTTATATTTTGTAACAGCTTGCCTGAAAATGCAGCATCATGGTTTAGATAAACAAACGGCTCAGTGAAAAAAAGCATCAAGTAGCACCTTCATTGTATGCGATCACTAACTCATAATTAATTCATCTACAGTCTGTTTTAATTTAATCAGATGTTTAGGCTCAACCTTTGGCTCTCAGTTTCCATCTTCCTTTAAACTCAAACCATCAATGAGACTATTACCAGCAGGGTGTGCAAATGAGTTACTAAGAATGGCTCTTTTTTTTATAAAATGGGTTATTATTTTTGTGATCTAGGTCATCTGACAAACTATTTTATTCACTTTTTTAGCAACATTTTAAAATGAATAGGACACCTGCGTAAAAAAGGCTCAGAGAAATGTAATAATCGCGTGATTATGGCTTCCTTATACTGTCAGATTATCATTTAATTGAAGACTGATAATTTAGAATTATGATTTGAAAGAAAAAGCAAATAAGTAAAATTAACAAGTTTGAATGTAATTAGTAAATGATTGACCTGTGCTTGTGTACGATGGCATTGAACGCCAGGCCATCCCTCCAGCTGGTGGTGAAGTTGTGGATGTTGACATTGGGATATCTGTAGAGGCCAGGTTAGAAATCATTAATCTAGCTCTCTCTCACACACTCCCACACACACACAGCACAAAAAAATAACCTCTTAATGGACTAATACTAACATATTTGTTTTTTTGTGTGTGTATGTGGTTAAACTGTCTCCTCATCAGTTTAATACTGCTTTATTCTTACCCAGCAGTTTTCATTTGGCACCAAAGCAGCAGGGCATCTTTGGCTGATTTTTTTTCCTTGTTGTCTTCCGTCTCCACACTGATATCCTGGATCTGTGAGTAGGTACCATTAATGTTTGTTATTCAGAGTATGTAAAACTTCACACTACTCCTAGATGATTGGGTTTTGTCAAATTATAACAAAAGAAGAATAAAAAATTGCATTGTTAGAACGAATAGCCCAGAGAGGTTCAAAACATGACGTCCTGATGCATCTCAGTAATCCAGGTAAAAAATCAAAAAGAAAAAAATTGTTTAGGTCTTCTGGACGGGTTCTTCTCTAATGAAACGTTTCTGTCCTGTGACAGGAAACACACACAGGATTCCATGCAACCTTCAGGTGAAAATGAAGACCCCAAACCCAGACCCAAACCAGTGGTTATTCTGTATGTTGCGGGTGTTTCGGAGAAACTGAGACGTTTATTTTCTAAACATGATGTCCCAGTGGCTTTCAAACCCCAAAACCAACCCATTCTCACTCCCATGTCGTCACATATTGACGCTTTTCCAAGGTTCCCTCTACGTCCGATTTTGACG